ACACTGAGCCTGTTTGTATTCTCTTAATTGTTGTATTGTATGTCGGAGGGTGTCATATGATTCTAGTTGGCCGCGCAGCTACTGCACCTTAGAATACAGTGGTAGTATTTTCTGATAACTAAAAATGGCGATATTACATTCATCTGGATAAAACTGAATTCCAGTGATATGTCTGTATGCTTTGCTTGTCTGTTCATAACGAAGATTAATTCTTCTACGGCTTTTGTGAGTCCGACGAGAACCACAACACTGTTTTTCGTTTTTTCTACTTAAAGATCCATCCTTTTCGGAATCATCTTTCCGCTAATCGTTAGTCTTCTAACGATTCACAAGTTCCATATCAAGTTTCGTACAAAACTCTTATCAGTAAGAAACTGAAATGTGGATCCGCATGGACTCTCTAACACCTTTGGTGTCATATAGATATTTTTTTATTCATATTACATCTACCCTCTATTGTCTTTTATCTATAATTCGTTGCTTCAACAGTGCCAATAGTGAATCATATGTTTTTTATCTTTGTCTGATGGATTTTGTTATACTTTGATCGAGATATTTCTGCCATCGACCTTGGTCATAGTCACGACAATCATATTCGAGTTTTTTCCATTGAAAACAACTAGCCTGAAAACTTCAAAAGTTGTTCAAGCACAGAACTTTTAATATAAGTGGCTATATATATATATATCGACATTCACTGTCCATACTATAATCATATACATTGTTCATTCGATAACTTTTTAAAGCCGTAATTTTATCATAATTCCTTCTCAAAAAGCTTTTAAAAAGCAATCGTTCTCATACATCACAATCATACTAACGTATCCACAGTTCGATAGAAATCATGATATCTAGCGCAAAATAGACAAAAAAAAATCAAATTCTCCTAAGTCATTTACATGTGGGTTCCACTGGACCCATACAATACTGTTTGTATGATAAAATGAGAATACCATCCGAGGGTTAACTATTTTAAAGTATTTGATGATGTTCAAGAAACAATTGATTAGATTCAGTCCATATTGAATGAATATTTATTTCTAATTATATTCGAATCATTAGGCGAGATGGTCATTTCGCAAAGTTACAATGAATTTCAATTTGAATTCATTGATGTCTTTTGTATGAACAAAGAGGAACATTCGGTATGGACATATAAATATGAAAAAATATGTGATATATTTATCGACAACTATGAACTTTTTCATAATTTAACTGCTAAAGTTCGAACAACGGATGACATGCATGTATTATCGTGAGATATTGTCGTTTAACTATCTGAATATATGGCGAATAGAAAGAAAACAAAAGCATAGTCCAAGGAATACTGACAAGATAAAAGAGAAAGAATTGTCAGAGATATACATATGTGTTTTTCTAGTAGTCACACATTTATGCGAAGAGCATGCATCAGATGGATCTATTTTATAGTTTTTCTAGAAATGACTTCTCAGATTTTGTTTTAGTGTCAAGGATAGACGAGCCAAACAATTTCTCGAGTCGAGTCAAGCTATTTTTGCCATTTTTTTGCTCTTTGGTTATGTTTATAAAGAACGTCAACAACAAGTTTTTCAATACACGACATGTAGTTCCTAGTTTTTTTAAGCGCAAAAACAAAAGTAGATGATACATTAAAAAAATCACACAACTAATCTAGACTAATCAACCAAATAAGAACAGTAAAATCAAGTCTTCTATTTTACACAGCGTCACACCACAGTAAAACGAAATAATGTTTTTGTAAGCAAAAATCTAATCTTAAACCTGTTTACAAGCAAAAATTATTTATTATCACTTAAGTTAAATGTCTTATTGCACTTAAACGATGTTGAAGTAGGAATATTAACTTTTGTAAAATGTGAAGAATTCGATCTCATTAAAAGATTACTTTGAGAAAAACACATGTTCATCTAGTGCTAACATGCTAGCAATACGCCTATTTGTTTTAGCAAGTTTATTAAGAGATCGGTATTGATCTTTTCTTAGAGATGAGATGAATATCGTACATGCACTCACATCTTTTGTTGAGAAATAGGTAATGTGAAATAAATGATGGAAAATTTTGGTGATTAAACGCTGTCACATAACAATTATATTATGATGTGATAAAGAATATGGCACATAACGTAATGCAAAGATTTCATTTATTTTATTATATACACTTATACACCCTTCAGAAATGAATCAAAACCAAAATGCGAGAAAGAACGCACATATTCGACAATATGTGTAGGTTATCATTTACGACTACATGAATCCATAGATCGAAAAAACGCTCTTGAAAAATTATTCGGATACATTGTACTCATTTAGGATGAAGTTCCTAAATAAGTAAGAATCTAATCTTATCAATAGAGGTTTCTTTTTTTTAAAGAGCAAATGAAAACTTTTTTGAATAAATGACTCGGGATGACTTGAACTCGTCCATCCCTGTTTAGTGTTCATGATTCATGTAAACTAACAAACCACAAAGTGTATCTGAAAATGGCTCGAGTGCTGTTAATTTCTTTTCTGTCACTCATTTTTATTCTTTAATATCATTCTTCATTCGAACAATCCACAAAAACACAAAAAAAAATGCTCATACAGAGAAAAGCACATTGTATCTATCTCTTCAAAACATGCTGTTCTCCTCCCATGCAATGACATAACGGATGTTTCTTTTCCAGAGGAATGAGTTGAAGAGAAAAGAAAAGAGAAAGAAAATGTTTTTAAATATCGTAAGAAGAGACAGAACAGAGCAATATTGAAGATGTATCATGGTCGATGGCCGTGACAGGTGTGCCTGAAGAAAGTCCCATCAATATCACACCAATACCAAGACCATAAAAATCAAGTATTTCGTTATTATTGTATATGTAATACTTATTGTAGAGTTTGTTAAGCTTAAAAAAAATTCAATAGTGACCTTTATCTTAGGGCATCGACAATGAAAGCAAAATCTTAAGCAAATAAACAAGTCACATGGTCGACTAGGAAAAGCAGAGTGATAGTTTTTGACAATTAGAAAAAGGTAAAAGATAGCAGTAAAAAGAATACGACAATTGGTAAATCTGGTATCGTTTGGAATGATTATGATTAGAAACTAACACGAGGTAGCTTGTGTGGATATCCTTTTTCTACAAGATTATGAGACGAGAGAATACTACGGCAAATTCTCGTTTTTTTGTGCTTTAGAAAATATCTTCAATGTTGAAAGGCTCTGTTTTAATGTATAAGTCTCTCTGAAAGCTATACCACAGTAGTGCTTGTTCTAGCTACTATATTTGATTGCAGATACTTCTTAGAATGAACAAAATTTTATCAGATTCTTTATATTGTATTGTATTTCAGAATCATATTGGTTTCAGCTGCATCACATTCTTAGTTTTGTGACAAACTATGGCATCTTCTTCGCCGAACTCATTCCTTGAGTTCAATGATTTGCCACAACATTCAAAAATGGTCTATTGGTACTTACTCGTATCACCTTTATCATGGTGGCGATGTTTTGCATTATTGTACGAAACTCAAGCTCGTTCAAAAAAAGCCACATTAGTCTATTGGCTACTGATCATGTTGACTCTAGGCTTTCTCGCTATTTGGTGTTACATGTTATGGCTGGTCACATTCGATTTGGGATATTATTTAACGCTCCTCTCGGATGTCTCTTCCAGTGTTTTGACCATAGATGAAGGCCGTGCTCGTTTCGATAATTTACTCTGGCGTACTATTCTCAAAACTTTCTTTATTTCGCTCACTTATGGTTTGATACAAGGATGTAATTGTGTTCTTGCAAGTATTTGGCGACAACGTCTTTATGATCAATTGCATGGTCTTCTTTTTAAGTATATCTAACCTATAATTGAAATCTATAAAATCTTATTATGATCTGAGCAGTTTAAGTATTGTTTTATCTTCGAATCTTCTCCACTCTAAAACGTATACGTGAACTTATAATTTTTCCTTTCGAATGGATATCTTCACAATCTGTCACTGTTCAAAAATGACTACCATTCAAATTTTCTATATTTGAGTTCGGTTTAGATCAAGAAAAAGCATTAAAGAAAACTGAAAATACTTGTTCGAGTATATTAGACGGCTTTTTAAAAATCATCAATAGTTAAGATCTGAAACAAACCGAACTTCTCTAGTTCAAGTTCGGTTTTTGATATTCAAAGAAAGTCCTATGTTTCACGATAATATTCTCGTGAATTTAGATATTTTATTCTCTGTTCTATCAATTTTGCAGTTTTCCACATCGAATTTATTCACTCTCTTATCTAGATTACTAAACAAAATAAAAAATAAAATACAAAAGATATTGAAATAACCAGGTCTATCAGCTTCTAATTACCAAAACATTCCGACACATCTTCAATTTAGATTTTCTTTTTAAAATTTTTCAGTAGACTCACGGTTGAAAATTGTGAGATTATTGTTTTCATTCCATCTTCTGAAAATATCATAGCCCTTTTGAAAAATCAAATTTTGCTCATAAAATTTAAACTTGATTGTTTCATGTTCATTATTTCTGAGAAAAGGTTTCAAAGTTTGTGAATGTTCTTCGAATTAGAAGACCTTGAGATATAGATAAAAAGAGATTTGTATACATATTCAGATCTCCGAATGGATGTTCTATTTATGAAACGTCTCAAAATTCGATTGATGACATGTCAACTCGTCTGACGAATGACGTACGTCAATTTACAACAAATATGGGTCTTACTCTTTTCGGATCATTATACTATGGTGGAATCTTGAATTTGGTAGCTGTAATCATTGTATTCAGTATCTACATTTATCGTTCGACGAATGGTGATACAAATGGCATAGTCTTTAGTTTCGGAAGTTTTGGTTTCTGTGCATTCTGTGTCATTTTATTTAGTGTAAAATTTAATGTTTATGTAGCTCAACAGACCACAAGCAAGGGTCACATTCGAATGTTCTTACGAAATTTGCAAGCAAATGCCGAATCGATTGCTTTTTATTCAAGCCAACGTTGTGAATTGAGATTGCTGATGAAACTAATTCAAACTGTTCATATAGTCAATATACGTGTTGCTCGTTGGTACGGCATTGTTAGTCTACCGCTCGTACTTCTCAGTAAGTAAAAAATGTTTCATCATGTCTGGGAACTTCACAATACACTTTCTTTTGATCATAGATGCGATCAGTACTTTAGTCCTATATGTATTTCCAGCAGTATTTTTCTTCTTTCTGCGCCCGTCACATTCTCAAACACCTGATCAAGCAACGAAATATTTGGGTAAGTGATCTGTATAATATGGTTTGGTTGTATGCTTAGAGAGTCTTATGGTTAAAGCGAAGTCTGAATTTCATTTAAAAACTGAAGAAAAAAAAACCGTTTTCAAGAATTCACAGGGATGCCATTTTGAGCCCACATCCTAATACAATTTTTATTATATTCACTGTTCTCCATAAAGTACTCAAAGTACAATATGATAGGTGGATAACCAATCTGAAAAAATTTTCTTCCGTTTTTTAGGCATCATAGGATTTTATGGTTATCTTTTTTTCAATTTGGTCTCACTCATTTGGATCACTGAATCATGTCTTATTACGGTGACAATGGGCGAACGACTTGTACATCTTAAAAAACAGTTGATAAGCCTCAATGAGTTCCATCAACATCGTTTAGCCCATGAATCAAAGTCAGCAATACGACGAATAACAAACGATTCTTTTGAACTTATTAACCTCCGTATACGTCTTCCGCATACGCACACTATTCTTCAGTCGAATATTTATCTGCGAGCATCTCGGAATGAATGTGTTTTCATCACTGGTAAAACAGGTTGTGGAAAGACAAGTTTAATGCGTGTTTGTGCTGGGCTATGGCCTTTGGATGCACAATTCATTAGTATGCCTGCTCGAAGTGATCTCATTTTCATTCCACAACGTCCATATTTGCCACTTGGTTCACTTCGATTCCAAGTTCAATTTCTACTACCAAAAATGTCGATATCTAACCTAACTGATGCTGAAATTGATAATTTGTTTAAACTTGTTAATATGGATTATATTTTGAAACGATACGATCTCAATCAGGTAATAACCACTTACTGCAAATTGCTTTAACATGAAATTCATACATACAGAAGTAATACAGCAGAACATATCATTTTTAGCCTTTAAACTACTAAAAACTGATGAGTTGTGGGTTCATCTGGGTCAAATTTGCTCTAAGAACATAATATCTTGTTGGGAGTAAATAGAAATATATCATAAAATGATATTAATAATTACCGAATGACTATTTTTAAGTGTCATTTTTCATTCTCAATCATATCGTGTTTTTTTTTGGAGGAAATAAACGAATTTATCGTGACTTCGTCTTTTTTCAAGGTAGTTGACTGGTCATGTTGTTTATCGATCGGTGAACAACAACGTCTGTCTTTTGTACGTTTATTCGCTTTGTTCACTTGTGAGACTGTGACCACAGCTAACAAGCTTGTTCTTCTCGATGAATGTACATCAGCGATCGATATGCACACAGAATCAATCATTTATCAGACAATGTTACGATTACACATATGGTTTGTTACAATTTCCCATCGCCCTTCACTACGATCCTATCATTCAATGGAGTTCAAACTTGGAAGCGCGTCCTCGGAGGCTCCGAACAGTAATTCTTCAGACAATGAAGGTAAATTGGGTTCCACTGAGATCGATATGGACCAACCTACATCTTCGTTGCCGCAGATTGAATACAATACAGATGAAATCGAAGTGAATCAAAGTCGTTGCTCATGGTTAAAATCTATTCTTAGTCTTTGGCGTCTTACTCATGTCCCATTTGATCTTGAACAACATAGAACTTTACGTATACAGGTAGCTTTTCTTTACTATTGTTGAATACTTTCAGTGTATCATTTCTTTCTGACTAAAATCGAATTTATGAGAATGTTCTCTAAATTTATGTATAAGTTTTCATTGAAATAGGTCTTGAACAGAATCCTATTAAGCTGAGAGTCGATTGTAATCAATCGCATCAAGAGAATTCGAACACATTTTAATTTTATCATATTGTCTGAAAAGTAATAACTTAAAAGTTACACGGAAGTAAAGACAGAGACATCACATTTCATCACTAGTGCTGAAAGAATTGTGGATTCTTTTTGAGTGATTTCTAAACTGATATGATAGATAGTGCATTATTTGTCGGGTTGCCTTTTCTTTAAGTATGACATTGGTCGACATGTGCATATTTTTTTTTTGATAGAAAAAGATAATTTCAAAATTTTGATTGACTGAATAGTCCAATCAAAGAGTTTTCCTATCTAATCCAATGAATTTCTGCTATTTTTTCGTTAAGACTATGGAGCTGATTTTTCAGATCAGTCTAAATTGGATCAGTTGTTCAGATCTTATTGGTAATGACAGACGCAACTAGTAGATAATTGCAAAAAATGATGATAACTTCACTATACTTACAGACATATGCGGCATGGATCTGCTGTCTTGGATTTTTGGGTGCATATTCGTATTTAAACTATCGTCTGGCATCTCAAACCGGTGCTATTTTCAGTATTTTGTCTGATTATGCTTCAAGTGCAATCGATCTCGAAACAGGAAGAGCACGTTTACAACACGAAATTCCATTGCTTGTTCTACAAATTGTCGGATATGCAGTGTTTTTCAGTGCTCAAATTGGCTGTGGACAAATTCTTGGATCTTTGTATACTCAAAGACAATTAACATACATATCACGATTATTACTCAACGACAACGATTTGACTCTGTATCATACATCAAATACTCTAAGTCAACTGCCCAATATTCTATCATATGAACTTGCCGAGTACAATATGCATCTCTTTTATATACTTTTCGGTTCCATCTATTTTAATGGTATTCTTGGTAAGGCTATTCAGTTTCATATCATAAAAGAAAAGAGATCAATATTTTTTTTTTACAAATTTCCGGTGAAAAAGCCAGCAAATCAATAATATACTCCTTTTTTTTTTAATTATTGAAAACTCTATAAATCCTCATGAAGATGAATTGAAACTCTAAAATTAGTTTGAAAACAGTATTGTCTTCGACATTGTTTTTATTTTCAACAGGAGTATTGATCCTCTGTATTCCCTACACCTATCTACTTGGCTCACAAAAAGGTGGTGAAATAAGCATCTGTATTATTTACTTATCTCAGTTGATATTTACGTGTTTCATTCTTATCGCTCTGGTTCCATTTTATCGAGCGAATAAACAATGGGAAACCTCATTTACTGCTTTGGCAAATGCTCAAAAACGTCTTGACTTACATGCCGAACAGATTGTTTTGTCAGACGAGAATGTAATTCATATTGAAGAGAAATATTTAAGATCACAGTTGGACTTATCGATCAATTCTCAGCGACGTGCTGGCTACTTTTATGGTTTACTTGTTGGTGTCAGTGTATTAGGTAATTGGGCTGCAACTATTATCGTTTATTGCATTCCTGCAGCGATTTACTTCCATTTAACTGACAATCCGACTGTCTCACAAGCCGGTGTTGTTCTGACAATGAGTGTATTCAATGGATACTTGAATGGTACTCTCACAATGATGAATTCCTACGGATATTCGTTGTCTCAATTGTGGACTGTCGGACTGCGTGTGGTTCGAACGTTTGGTAAGTATCTAGTAGATTAAACAACTATCATGAACAAGAGTAACATCTAATTCCATTAAGTGCAATAAAACAAAATTATGAGCGAAATACTATTACCTAACTGTCGACGATAAGATCATTTTTATTCGATTGTCTGAAAATCGTAGCGTTGCCAGTCAATTAATCTGAAGTTTTTTGAGCACTTTAGAATGTGAAACTGTCTGTCTAACATTTTTCATTTGTTACGATTTTTTCAGGTTGCAGTGCTTCTTTTATACAAGACTGTAATTCAGTTGATAGGAAGTGTCTCAAAATAATATTACAGAAAATTCTCTGGCCATATTAGAAGATCGATCTCTAGTCAGTGTTTTGGTTAGAGAATCATAGGATTTCATCTAGACTAGAAACCATCTCGTTCAATACGTATATATATATATCTAACGATAACTGAAGTGTATTTCTTTTGTCCACAATTGAATTTTATTTCATTTTTGATCATAATACCATATCAACATGATAGTCCTATTACTTTGACAAAATAATAGTGAATCAGGAATTGTTCATAGTTATATATCATATAGATGTAATATCTAGTTCGAGACAAAATTTTGCATAATTTATGTCACTTGAAGAAGAGCTCAAGACAACAATTGCTCTTCATCGTCGTCAACGAGCCCGTGAACTCGATACTGGCAAACGTATATTCTTTCCGACGTCGACAGATCAAGTTTTAACGCTTCGAAACGTTGATGTTTGTCTGCCTTCGAAGATCATTTTACAGAAAGTGCTTATTCGTTCTTTATCATTTACATTGAACAAACAATCGACCTTACTCATTAGTGGACCAAGTGGATGTGGAAAATCAAGTTTATTGCGCTTGATTGCTGGTTTACAGTATAATACATCCACTAGTCCTAATTCTTGCATCCAATTTCTTCGACGTGATTCAACAGTATTTCTCCCTCAACAATTACATCTGATCGATGGTACATTACGTCAACAGTTGTCTTACCTATTTGAGTCAAAAGATCTTGGAATTCTTGTAGAAGATAATGTCAAGATTCGTGATGTACTGCTCATTGTCGGTCTTGAACACCTTCTCGATCGTTATTCACTTGATGTATTCGAGCACAGATGGTCGCGTATTCTTTCTATTGGTGAACAACAACGTCTAATGATTGCTAGCGCATTACTGCTGCTAAATACGAAAACAATAGGCTGTCTCGTTCTTGATGAAGTGACATCCGGTTGCGATGAAGAAACAGAACGACGAATTTATTTATTTTTGTGTCGCATGGCTATACCATATATTTCTATTTCACATCGACATAGTTTGATCGATTATCACACGCATCAATTGACGATTGATCCAAGCAAACAATCATATACCTTCGTTTCTCTTCGTTCGATTGTATAAAAGAAACGTTTTTTTACATTCTCTCATTTAGACACATAATAATAAAATCGCAAATGATCAAATCATCTGGCTACTGTTGTTCACGCGTTTAAGACACGGAATATTTTTCTATGTGGATGACTTCGTTATGTTATATTCATAATATTGCATCTGTTCTTTTGTAAATGCAAAAGAAAAGGAAGTGAATAAGATCAGACACTTTGCGCGCACACGTATAATAATAATAGTGTGTCGATAAAACTAACTGCCATGTCTTTTAAGTAGCCGAAACATCGACATTCGGTGATATAATCGTCGTTTGTAATAGTATGTAATTGCCCTTGACGTTGTTGAACCGTTTCATATGAAATATTTTTACTACTGAAAGACAAGCCGTCGCCATGATACAAAATCTGACCCATAATCAGCCAGTCTGAATCTCCTAGTACGAAAGAACATCATTCAATATTGCGACAATAAATCGAGTTTTCATTTTAATACCTCTGCATAAATCGAGCTACTAGTGATATAATTGAGATAATGAAAGATTTCCGATTCGGAAGTAAACCATTTGATCCAATTGCCATAAATGTCACCGATTATACCGGAATCTATTTCAGCGAAGCGACGTCGCTTTTGAACTGAGAATGAATAGATCAATGTGTCGATGACGAATCGTGCTTCTCTGATCCCAATACGAATAAGATGAAGTAGCATTAAATATTTAGCCTGACTTTATTGAGCGAACAGTCTCCAGAAAAGACAAACAATCTCTCAATTAACCCATCATAGGATTCTATCGAGTCCGACAGTATGCAACTTTCGGATTCTTCGATCTGAGTAGTTTTAATAGATCATAGTTCTATCAGTAAATGATCTACGCCTAGGATGACGAATTCATAAAATTTCAGTATTTACTTTTAAATAAAATATTTGAAATTTTCATATTCTTTTTTTTTAAGAAAACATTTTTTGTCAGTAATTCGTTTAAGGAAAAAAACAGTAAAATGATACATAGAATATATTTTGTTTGTATACTAATTGTTATTTTTTAAACAGAATTTAATTTTTGAATCGAACGTTGAACATCATGATATATATAAAGTATTGTTAAAGCAAGAGCACCGATAGTAGGTAAAATATGAACAATACATTTGTATTTACCATTACAAAATAATGTATTTGTATTTGAACATTTTATCCATGATACAAGTAAAATAACAAAAGCAACAAAATAGATAAGACTAAATGCAGCATCAACTAATAAAGATGTTTGACTTGTTCCATCATCTTGTTCAAACATTCGACATAAGAAAATAAAACTATCTACTGCTAATGCAACCCACATAACTAGAAAATAAAAATTATTCAACCACAATGATCAAGTTGATAGCAAAAAAAAGACATAATATTACTCTCTACTAAATCTACAAATGATCATTTTTATGGGAAAAAATTTTCCTGCTAGAATCATTTGGACTGTCTTTTTTTTAATATTCAAATATTAAGGCAATCATTTCTTCGTTCAGTATACTTATCAGTTAAGGTTATGATAGAGAAAATTTTATAGAAAAGACGATAGTAGGAGAAAAACTTAATCTACTAAAGTTATACAGCAATGTCAAGGCATAACATTGCCATGTTTCTCTAGTATAATAAAGAATTTCGAATATTCTTGATACTGTTTTCATTCGATACATTTTATTGAAAAAAACTCTAAGCATTCTACAAGATGCAACGTGAAAAGCTTATTCAATATGTGCAATTTTTGTTTTTAAAATGGAAAAAATTCAGTTCAATTAGTTTTTTACACTGTGAACATGATCATTTTATTTAAATCAAAATAGTAAATATCCAAAAAAGAATTCTGATATGATTCGGTGCTTCTAAAAGCGGTCTTACATCTCGAATTATATTTAAACTCGACGAAACATTATCATATAAACAATTATATTGAATTTTTTATTCAACATAACCAATCTGAAAGTGAACGACTGTTGAGCAATTATTTCATCTATCAACAAGACGTAGAATTTCACACGCTGTATCTCGAGGTATATTTTGGATTTTTAATAATAAAATTTATTGAATGATGAAAAGATGAAGTGGAAAACACAGTCATACATTATATCTTACCCATTAATACCAACTATAGCTTTAAAGTTTAATACAATTGAAAAGATACCATATGTATGGTATGAGAACAATATAATTTTTTTCATTCTGTCAAAATTTTCGAGAAATATAATTTTTATGTAAAAAAAGCAACAGCATCACCTCGTTGCTCGGCCATCATAACTTCGATCGAGTTGAAACTTTGCTACACATACTAGATAGTATTTTTGGGTGATAACGTTAATTTTTTATTTTAAAAGAATACTGTACCATTGATTTACTTTAGAAAGAAAAAAAAAGCTTTTTAGGTAACATGATAAAAAGTTTATTATCATAGTGATCACGAATTGAATAAGATTGGATAATCTTAATGAAGGAAAAAAAACAGCATGAGAAATAAGTTGAATAACTTATTAAATCGAAAGAGCAAGGTGTGTTCGCAGGTACTCTAAATTCTCAACAACTATCATTTATTAACAAAAAGCTTTCACGAGTAAAACATTCGCTAATAAATTTCAAAGAATCAGATTGATTATTAATTTTATTTACACTGTTTCATTCCAGTAACACTCATGTGACTTAATGAAACTTCAAAAATATTTGCACAATAATGATTCCTGATTGTTATCAGTTACGAGATGCAAAAATTCAAAATAAAATGGCACTATTCCAGTCTGTTTGAAAAATTTTTCCTGTTTTCTTCAGTAGGAAATTCTCCTCGAAAAAAAAATGTAAAGTTCGAGTTGATTCACAATAGGAGTGATTGTGGAATCATTGAAAGTATAGGCTCGTTCTCTAGTGAAATCTAAGCAGATCAAGCTGAAACTTTGAACATATTTTTTTCTAAGAAAGACGGTGTGATTCGCTGCAATTGATATAATGAACGAAAAACCACTCTTGCATAGAATTTTTACTGTCTTTGCTCATTTACATAGCGAAAGTATGATTTTATTGCATGGATATGAAATCGAGACGATGATATTTATTCTACCAGAATTTGAGCTCATTTGCTCATATATTACTGAATAACAGCCTTATGTAGTGGCAGACGATGATTGACATACCATGTCTCACTATTACAAGATTTTTTTGATGATATTTTTAGGAATGATTGATGTACAGCGGGGCTATATATGCTCGAAGTTTCAGTTTGATCTACTTAGATTTCACTAGAGAACGAGCATATACTTTCAATGATTCCACAATCACTCCTATTGTGAATGATTATTTAATTTCGGTTTTTTATATAAACATACATTCCTTATGAACCTCTATCGATTGGTGAAACCCGCAGGTTTCTAGCTCGTTCCTGGCTTCAGCTATTCAAAAAACAGGGACGGATATTCTATTTTGAAACGGAGAATAGTAAAAAAACAGTTCCAGCTTCTACAAACGCACCATCTCAGGAAACATGATAACTATAGATCGCGACTATGATCGTGAGTCACGAAAATTTTTTACGTAAAATATATTATTGATGAAGATTGAATATATCGACTCTATTAATGAAAGTAACGCGAATATATTGAAGTGAAATATAAGAAAACAAAATTTATCCAATCAAGGGCAACTCGAAAGATGTTTTTGTCAAAGAAAAATCCAATATAATTTTCAACAAAGATATTCCTCTTTACCTCTCAAAACAAAACGAGAACGATCATACATTAAAAGTTTGACTTTATTTTGGAATTGCTTCTATTTAAAATATAAATTATGTGTGATTTACGTATGTGTATAAAAGTAACTAGTTATAAATACTGAATCTATGCAAAAAATAAGATCATTGCACAGTGGGTATTTTTCCATCGAAAAAACTGTGTTTTACTTTGAAAAACAAGAGCTTTTTTCAGGAAGCTAGAACTCAGTCCTGAAACGCTCGTGCGAAGGAGCATTCTGTAAAAGTTTCTTAAGATTCGAAATTATGGAAAATTGTGCAAGTTCATTACACCGAACACATGTTTCCGTACAAGCACTTGACGTTAAAGAAGAAGAGTTTTTAAAATTCCAAACAGATAAAATCGAAAATTATCTTCTACGAATCTATAAAGTAAAAAAAAGACTCCTCATCTTTACTAGCAGCGTATTTTGACTAATGCTAATAAAACTAATAAAGACTTTTATATTATTAAATCACTCATAGGTCAGAGTATATATTATCCTATTTAAATCATCAAAAACTACACTTTTAATTTTTCATTTAATATCCATCTGGATCCCCACAATGAGATTTATGTTGTAGAACACCTAACCAGTTTTCAGAAAAATCAGCAATACTCACTAGTCGATATACATATTTTCCCAAAGGAAGTAATTTTCAGTGTAAAAGAACATTTCTTCTACTAATGAATATCTTAAATCCATAATCCAACAGTATTTTTGAATCTTTCTATAGAATACTCTTTACATAATCAAATATAAATCGACTATTTACTTATATGAATAAATTCACTATCTGATGTTGAATTAATATTTGCATGACCACCAAATGCATTTTGACCACATGATAATATATTTATAAAAATAATACAAATTATAAGAATAAATAATCGAAGAATATGTAATAAACCTTTTTGATTTTTAATATAATCAATATTCATTACTTCGTATGTTTCTTTTCTTAGTTAATTAAAATAGACAAAAAAAAAAAAAATCAAAGTAAAAAATAGCGCTTTATTATTCTATTGATTTTTCTTTTTTTGTTTTTATTTTAAAAATCGAAATTATGTTGATAAACTATTTTACATATGCATTTGGTATAATACATCTTCTACGTTTTATTTGTTTAATAATTTTTTTAATATTATCTGAATTTAAAATATCTTCTTGTAATTCATCATTAAATGAATTTCTTGGTTTTAATCATCAATCAATACTTTTCTATTATATATTAATATGGATATCATTTACATTTGAAATTTATTTTTTTATTAATCGCTTATTTGGTTTAATAAAATTTCAAGCAAAAAATTCAACATTAATTTTATATATATGTTTATCAATATGTTATTTTCTTGCATCATGTTTTACATTATATGCAATTATTAATTATACACATGGTCATGTTATAACACAACATGATTTTAGTGATCCATCATTAAGAACTATTTTAATTACATATGATTGTAATTTATTACGTTTAATTGGTATTATATTTGGTTTTTTAATTAGTATACTTTATTTTATTGCTGTTATACTAATTTATCATTTAAAAGATTGAAGCAAATGAAAAAAAAAACAAAGATTCTTCTTTTTTTTTTTATTTTTCTTCGATATGACGAAACAAATATATTCACACACACACACACACACACACACATATACATATATATACATGTACACTGCGTGAGATAATTGCGAAAACAGATTTATTTTTTTGTTTTTGTTTTATTTCATAGAATTAAGTTCATTGATTAATTCAAATACTTGTGGTGAACGTGTTGATGCATGTATATTATCTCGAAGTAAACAATCAATAAATGATAATGTCATTTCTAATTTACCAAATGTTATTTCAAAAACAGTATATGTAGCAAATAATGTACATATAGCTGTTAAAAAATCATTTAATGGACGATGAAATAATTGGACATAATCTAATTCAATATTATATGCTGATGAAGAAGTTTTTCCATCGAAAAATGAACGTGCTGGATGATCACCACGTATAATTGGCCATGGAGATTGTGCATCCTAAACAAAACAAAAAAAAGACAATGAATTATTTCGAAAAAAAATTTCTTTTTTCTACTTACTTTCTCTGGTGAGATTAATAAAAATTGATATTCACCAAAATAATATGCAACAATTACTAAAGCGAATGTATCAGCTAAGACTAAAATAAATAATAGTTTGATTAGGAATGCAACATGATATGAAGGTTAAAAGAAACTATTCCTCTGTCCTAGAACATTTTTTTTTCGATGACATTACTAACAAATATCTCAATAAATTCTTCATATTGCCTTTTTCGATACTCACTTATCCGAAGGGAATTATATCAAGTGTAGTCGGCTCTATTAGACTCATAAGTGGATCTCGATAAGACTAGAGAAAGCTGAAAAAGGTTGGTATCCAGGCGCCTCTGGAACTGAGTTATAATCGTTTTATTGAATTTTCGAAATAAACTCTATTGTTGTATCATGCCTAAGGCAAGCAATTGTATTTTTTTTTTTGGAAATTCAATATCTCAACTAGAGAACATTCTTTTCGGTTGGAATTTTCAGAGTAAGATTTATCTATGGTTGAATATTCAGTAAAACGATCATAACTCAGCTGCATAGATATCAACTATTTTATATTTTCTCCAGTCTTATCGAGACCTCCTTGTAAGCACAATATGAAATCAAACAGTGGGTTATAGTTAGCATGTTGTTCATATTTTATCATCGAGTTCCAGTTCCGATACGTTTTTTGTTTCTTACTTTGTTCTAATTGTGGTCGTTGAGAAAGAATTGTATGATATGAATGAAGAATATCAGGTGCACATCCTGTTTCTTTTGCAAGTCGTATAATTGGTTTTGATATTGAACGAAGTTTATGTATTAAAACTGTTTGAATAGGTATATTTGTTTGCATATGAAAATCAGCAAGTAACTAAAAAAATCTTTTTTTTTTCTTTCATTTTAATATAATAATAATAAATGACATACACATGAATGTAATTGTAATGCTGGATATTCCATAAGAATTTCATTTGTATTATGTGTTTTAACAAAATCTCGTCGAATTTCAAATGTTTCTTTAAAATAATCTGATATAAGAGATATATCAGGATCATTTGTTGTTGCTAATGTTTCTTTCATAACTGTTATACAAGTTCGTAAATGTTTTAATTCTTCTTCATCTATTTCATCATTATTTTCACTGAATTGATCCTTAAAAAAAAAACATTTTTTTTCTTTATCAAAAAAAACAAAATAATCATACAGATTCTTTTGCATGAATTATTCTTGGCATTTCACCTGATTCATAATGTCCATCATCAGAATCAACTTCAAATTCAAGTCTTGATCGTTTTTGTCCACCGGATGTTTTTGTTAATTTTTCTTCACCTAATTCTTCATCACCGGATATTCTATCATAACCATTCTCACCACTCATTGATTGTGTTGCATCAACATAGGATGTTGCAGTACGACGACCACGTTTAAATTTTCCTTTTATACCATCAATCCATGCACCCTTTATACAATACAAATATTAAGAATTTTATTTTTTATATTTGAATAAAAATAACTTACTTCACCACCTTCTGTAGAAGATTCAAGAAATGGATAAGCTTTAACAAGTGCTGATGCAACTGTTTTATACTGTCGAGCATTAGGATACCTAAAATAGAAATTTTAATAATATAGAATATTTTTTAAAGAAATAAATCAATATAAGTTTTTCTAATTTCAATAAGGAAATATTGAATAATTTTATAGATATTACTCAACTCTCTCTACGACAGAGATAATCATCAGGACAGAGTAAATTATTTTGCTCCGAAAAAATCAAATTTTTAATCTTTTCTACAATTACATGAGACATCACGAATCACTTTATTGATGAATATCTTGTTTTTATATGTATATATACAACTAGTGTCATCTACCTGTACTAAAAAAACAAAATATTAAGTTAAAATAATATCATTTTATATTCGATTATAATCTAGTTTTGTTTTAGTCGTCATAGGTTAATCGTTTTTTTTTAGATTAAAAATTGTACAATTTCAATCAATTTTTATATATATGAATAATATTCTTTTAAAATTTATATAAAAGTTAAGAGCACTACATATAACCAAGAACAAAATATTTCATAAAGTTAACAACCCATCCCATAATCGACCTCATTTTATGTGCTCTAAGGGCGTTCTGTCCTGCCCTAAGAACAGGACGTAGCCGAAAAAATTTCGTATGAATCATTCTCAAGACAGAGCGAAAAAATACCATATGACGATCATTGTCTTCTAATATTGAAAAATTTTCAACCGTCTAGGCCATCGATTTTCTCATCTAAATCCTACCGATCTCTAAATACCTTATCCCTTCAAAGCTACTTATAATTCACCTCGAAAGTGATTAATCAGTTAAGTCTATATCCACGTGCTCTATATAAATAGTCTACTGCGTATGACGAACTATGTAATCGATATAAGTCGACAGATATATATGATAAATTATTCAATAGAGATATAATAGATATTAAAATAACTTCTTAAGAATATAGATAAAAAAAAAAAAGAAACAGATTATTATTTGTTGTTGTTGTTGTTGTTTTTTTTGTCCTACATACCAAAGATTATATGCACGCGTAAGATCATCATAAATAGACGAGATTAATAAATTTCTATAATAAGTACGTAATTTAAAAGCACTTGCATCTTGAGATGCAAGTGCTAAACGAAGTGTTTCAGCAAATTGTGGTAATTTATATACATGAGGAAATGTATGTTTTGTATCATTTTCATTTGTTTGAGTACTAAAAAATAAAATAAAAAAGAAGAATTATTTTAATTATTTTTTTTTTTTTAATATACTTGAGTGTTTGATTTGGAAAGTATTTTGGTTCACGTTTAAGAATTTTAACTGGTGATCCTTTCGAAATATTTGAATGTTCGGAATAAATAATTTTTAATTGATGTTGATGATGATGATGATGACCATTTAATGTATTTGGTGAATTTGAATTTGATAAATGATTATTTCCTTTATCAAATGATGATGATGATGATAATGATGATGCTATAACTTGAGTAGCTATTTGATGTGCTGTTGTTCGTCCATTTGTTAAAATAGATGATGAAGAAAATGTTTTCTTCGAATTTAAATCAGCTACATGTCTTTGTTTAAGTGTTTGTAATAAATCAAGAAATTGTACTTCAAGTTTTATAGTTGGAAATAATCGAGCAACCATTGATTCACTTAATTTAAGTAATATAGGACCATCAATTTCATTTTCTAAATAATATACACAAAAAAAATTAAATTTTCAATATTCTATCATAATCACAATATAATAAAATATGATAATGCTTATACCTCGGAAGACTTTTTCAAATGCACCAAAATTTGATTCATGAAGCCAAGCAACAACAGTATCAGTATTCCATTGTGAAACAATTGATTTCTAAAGTTTCATATATAATACAAAAAAAAAAAATATATATATATATATATTTATAATTAAACAAAGAAAGGTTTTTACCGTAGACATTGATACTGAATCCATCAATGGTCAATAGAAGGTTAACATAAGAATGAATATACAATATAACGTTCTGAAAAGAGATTTATGTATGTCAGTCTGAAATTTTTGTTTTTTTTTTTTTGTTTTAGGGAAAAAAACGACATACAACATGGACGGACGAATTGTACGTATATACGTACAGTATAATCTTTTTTTTCTCTCTCTTGATGGTCTATTACCGATATGAGTGACGAACGAAGAATGTTTCTTCTTTCTTTTCCATTCGTCCGCCTGCTTCTTACTGAGTCCAATCTCTCTTTCTCCTGTCCTATTTTGCGGTTGTTTAAGAAGAAGAAATTTCAGAGTAAAGAAAAAAAAAAAAGGGCAGATAAAATGAAATGTACATACATATATATGTATA